CTTGACAAGAATTAAGCTAAGCTGCATCTCATGACATAAATATTCATATATGCATATACATTAACAGATTCAAGTGAAAAGTTGATTTTTTTTATTAGATAGGATTAACTTCAGCTACAGAAAACAGAAAGTTCAAATGACTGGCTTTAAAAAGCTAAATTTACTCGTCTTTCATTTAAATGCAATCTGGGGGGTTGGGGGGAAGATAGGTTTGTGGGTTTCCCATTCTCAAGGTGCCAGACATGTGTGTTCCTGCCCCATATCCTTAGAGGGAGGCTTTCCTCCTCAAGATTGCCTTATGTGCAAGGTGACTACCAAAGTTGCATTTTTATTTATGCCCAAATTATAGTAAGAAAGAGAAAAGGAAGAAGGAACAGAAAGGCACATGAAATCTGCATTTTCCCTTTTTAAGAAGCTTTCCTCCCCAACCAATCATAGAAATGATGGCTGTCAAGGAGACCAGGATATAAAGTGTTTTATTTGCGCTCATTGACCTTCAGATAAAATTAGGGGGAAAATAATAACATAGATATCTGATAGGAAACTAACAGTACCTTCTGCAATAATGATTACATTTCTGGAAAATAAATGTTAAGATCCTTGAAAACAAGGAGTGATAGTTGAAGAAAAACTTCTTAGCAGCCGGGGACTAAAAACTTTAAAAGATTTGAGACAAAAATCTGAAAATTGGTAGAGAATTGGGGAGAAAAAGAGAATTTGAACAAGGCATTCAAGAGTAAGAAAAATGTCATCATAAAATTACTACGAAAGCATAAAAGCAACTATATTTTATTAGAGTAAAAATACGTGGATTGAATAACCCTAATAAAATAAATTCCAACCATACATTGTTTATAAAAAGTGTATTTAAGGTGATTAGGAAAAAATAAAACTAAAATTAAGCACAAAGATGTCCCAGGGAAGTGAAAGCAAAAATAAAGTCAGATATTACTGTCATTAGACAAAGTAAAATTTAAGGTGAAAACATGACAAAGAGGGACATTAAATAAGGATAAATGTACAATCCATGGTGACAAACTTTTATAAACTTAAAATCATATTAACAAAACACAAACAATATAAAACTAAAATACCTTGATAAAATGCAAATTATCAGGTAACAAGAATATAGTTATTGCAGAAAGTAATATATCAAACTAAAATAAGAATGTATGTGTATCTATCACATATATACTATACTTCGTAGCCTACAAAATAAGAATATACAATTTCTTCTTAAACTGTTATACATTTATAATAATTAATAATTTGGCCACTCAGAAAACCTTGGTAAAGCCAGGAAAGTAGAGATATTATAAGCCAACTTAATAATAATTTAATAACATTGTGTAAAAACTGAAGAAGTATCATATTGTGGTTGTGAACATGAACTCTAGTTATCCTAGTTTTGTGATCTGGGAAAGTTAGTTATCTTCTCTCTACCTCAGCTTAATTTTCAGTAATATTAGGAAAATAATAGTTTCTACATCATCAGTGTTGTTTTTGTTTTTAGGAATAAATGACTCATATATATTAAACACTTAGATCCATTGTTGACATATAGTATGTATAAATAATGTCAGTATAAATCAATGTCAACCTAAAAAGTTAAGACTGTGATCTTAAATAATAACAGATTTAGAATAAAATCAAAACTGAAGTAACATTACTAACTTAAAAATAACAAAAAAAGAGAAGACTTTAAACACAATGGATGGAAGGCAGCTATATCAATAAAAGACAAAAATGTGGAGTATTATATGTTCTTAATGTTTTTTAAAATTATAAAAATAAATGAACTAAAACACAGAATTTTAAAAATTAAATGTTGGAAGGATTAGGTCAGATAATAAGAGAAATTTCTGTTAGCAGCAGCTGAATTTTCTGCTAATAACAGAGAATTGTGAAAAGATGATTTCATAAACATGGCAAAGTGTTTGTAATAGCCATCCTAGGAACAGAGAATATTTGTAACTAGTTGAGGAAGTACTGTTGGGCAATGTCAATACACTGATTAAGAACAGAATTTAAAATAATGCTAATAATAAAGCCAAAAAACTCACTAATGCAATTTTTTTTCAGTATGATTCAGTACTGCAGAAGGAGAGATAATTAAACTTGGAAATTGACATACAGTTGTCCCTTGGCATCTGTGAGGAATTAGTTCCAGGACTCCCTATGGATACCTAAATTCACAAACGCTCAGGTGCCTTATATAAAATGGCATAATATTTGCATATAACCCCCTCTTTATAATTTAAGTCATCTCTAAAGTATTTATAATACCCAACGCCTGTGGAAACAGTTGTATGATTTAGGGAATAATGACAATAAAAAATACATGTACATGCTCAGTAACAGATGCCTTTTTAAAAAAAAATTGTTTTTGATCCACAGTTGGCTGAATCTGTGGATACAGAGCCCACATTTACTGAGGGCAGACTATATTTCGAGTACTTAAGGATCACAAGGGATACGCATCTGAGGGTACTGAAGAGTGGGAAGAAATTCCTAGACAGAGGGTCAGACTAGAAGGCAAGGAAGTAAAGTCAGGAGATGATTAGAGAATAAGAAAATCATACGAGACTGGAGATTATGTTGAAGTATAAGAGCATAATTAAAGTGAGAAACATGAATCAAGGAAGAAGGAGATTGGTGCTTGAGTGGTGTGGCAGATTGTATCTTTCAAAGACGGCTACACCAATATATATCTAATTCCACAAGCTGTTTTTACCATGCTATATTGACACTCCTCCATCTGGAGGTGAGGTCGACGTCCCCTCCCTTGAAACCAAATGAAACTTTGTAATTGCCTCGATCAACAGATTGCAGTAGGAGTGATACTGGATGATTTCAAAGGCTAATACACACAAGTAAATAATGGCTTTCATTTGACTCTTTCTTGGAACATGTACCATGGAAACCCTGAGCTTATTTGCAAGAAGCTCAGCTATCCTAAAGTTTATCTACTAGGTAGATCAAGTGGAGAAATTACATAGACATTAAGATTATGTTCAAGGGGTCTCAGAGGTTCAAGGCCTCCCAATTCAGGCACCAAACAAGTGGAGAAAAGGCTTTCAAGATCATCCCTCTGAAATAATTGTTTGATTGAAACCTCCAAAGACTCCCTGAGCCAGAACCATCTGGCCGAGCCATTCTCAAATTCCAAATCCGCAGACAGCATGAATGATAGTAAATCATTATTGTTGTTTTAAGGTACATAAGTTTTGGGGGGCAATTTACACACAGCAACAGAAAAAAAAAACTGATGAATGGGAAATATGGAGAGAAATGCAAATAGAATAAAACGGGGAGGAATACAAGGAGAGGAAAGTAGTACTGTGCAAAATAGGCAATAGGATGACCCTCAAAAGGAATTTTTTTTTCTAAGTATCTTAATGAATGTAAGGTCAGATTAAATTGGAAGGCATCAGGTACAAATATCAGTAATGTTAAATTCTATTTGTAGTAAGTCAACTATTTGTAAATTATGCATTGGAGATTGACTTTACATCAACCAAAAAGTTAAATTTATTTAGAAATCTATAGAAGAAGAAAAAGAAAAAAAGCCATTGGAAAAGTTTTAAAGATTATTCCATTAAATAGACAAAGTCCTTTAAGGAAAGGGATTAAAATGAAGGTAAGTTGATCTGCTTAAAAATAATATAGCAGTCTGGGAGCCGTGGCCCATGTCTACAAACCCAGTACTTTGAGAAATCTAGGCAGAAGGACCTCCCAAAGGAGGACTTGGAGTTTGAGACCAGCCTGGGCAACACACAGAGACTCCTTCTCAAAATTTTACATTTCTTAAAAGAAAAAAAAAATGAAATAATATTGTATTAATTCCTGTAAAAGCATCAGACAGATTTAGATGAGAGAGAAAGCTACAGGGAAGGAGAAAGCTGGTCTGTGGCAAGGACTTCTAATTTAGAGAAAGACAGATGATAGCAAACAGCAAAAGTTATATTATAGATGTGACTTAAAAACTAATTTGATTTTTAGTTTTAGTCAGAAAAGTGCTTTAGGTATGGAACAAGTATAACCTAGTATTTCCAGCATTTCTCTGTTGACCTCACATCTCTCTCCAGATACTGCCCTCAATTCTCTGCTTCTCTTCACAGCAAATTCCCTTGAAAGAGAAACTACCTGTGATCAGAAATTCCTCTGTTTCAATTTGATCCTGAATCCACTGCATCTAGGTCTTCCTCACCAAATCCCACATATATTTGTTTTATTTTGGTCATGTGGGACCTCCACATTGTTGTATCAGTATTTTGTCCTCATTTTACTTGAGTTATTTGTAGTTAACTACTCTCTTCTCCCTGAAACACTTTCCTTACTTGGCTTCTAGGATGCTCTGTTCTTATGGATTTCCCCTTTCACTTCAGTCATTTCTGTTTGTTTTTTCAATATCTTCGTGGTCTTATATTTCAATGCACCCTGCTAGCCTCCCAACTAGGTTTCCTACTTTCACCTTAATTCTCTATGGTTTATTCTCAACAAGAAAGCAATTAAAACCCCTTAAAAATGTCAACAAAACTGTCACTACTCAATACTCTCCAAGTAAGAGGTGACAATGTGCTAGCAGCCCTCACAGCACTTCATTGCCCTCGGCGTCCACTCTGGCTATGCCTGAGGAGCCCTTCAGCCCGCCACGGCACCCTGAGAGCCCCTCTCTGGGCTGGCTGAAGCTGGAGGCCCCTCCCTCTGCTTGCGGGGAAGTGTGGAGGGAGAGGCGCAGGCGGGAACCAAGGCTGCTAGGAGCGCTTGCTGGCCAGTGCGAGTTCCGGCGGATGCGGGCACGGGCTCGGCGGGCCCCCGCACACGGAGCGGCTGGCCAGTGGCCCCGCTCAAGGCAGTGGGGGGCTTAGCCCTTGGGCCAGCAGCTGCAGAGGGTGCACCAGGTCCCCCAGCAGTGCTGGCCCGACAGCGCTGTGCTCGACTTTTCGCGGAGCCTCAGCCGCCTTCCCGCAGGGCAGGCTCGGGACCTGCAGCCCGCCATGTCTGAGCGCTCCCCTTCACGTTGGGCTCTGGCGTGGCCAGAGCCTCCCCGACGGGCGCCGCCTCCTGCTCCCTGGCGCCCGGTCCCATCGACCGCCCGCCCAAGGGTTGAGGAGTGCAGGCGACCTCTGGGGACTGGCGGGCAGCTCTGCCGCAGCCCGGTGCAGGATCCACTAGGTGAAGCCAGCTGGGCTCCTGAGCCGGATGGGGACTTGGAGAACTTTTATGTCTAGCTGGATGATTGTATGTGCACCAATCAGCACTCTGTATCTAGCTCAAGGTTTGTAAATACACCAATGGGTACTCTGTATCTAGCTAACCTAGTGGGGACTTGGAGAACTTTTAGATCTAGCAGTGTCTACCTAAAGGATTGTAAATGCATCAATCAGCACCCTGTCAAAACGGACCAATCAGCTCTCTGTAAAATGGACCAATCAGCAGGATGTGGGTGGGGCCAGATAGGGGAATAAAAGCAGGCTGCCCAAGCCAGTCAGCGGCAACCTGCTTGGGTTCCCTTTCAGGCTGTGGAAGAGTAGGTGTTTCACTATTTGCAATAAATCTTGTTGCTCAGTCTTTAGGTCCATGCTGCCTTCATGAGCTGTAACACTCACTGTGAAGGTCTGCACCTTCAGTCCTGTCAGTAAGACCACGAACCCACCAGAAAGAAGGAGCTCCAGACACATCTGAAGTCTGAAGGAAGAAACTCCCGACACACTGTCTTTAAGAAAGGTAGCTCTCACTGCGAGGGTATGTGGCTTCATTCTTGAAGTCAGGGAGACCAAGAACCCACCAATTGCAGGCACACAAGGGGTCCTTATTTTATTCAGGTAAAAAACTGAAGTCCTTACTATATCCCTGTAAATTCCCATAGCATCCATCCCCACAGCCTCTCTGGCCCCTATCCATTCTGCCCTTTGCCCATTCTGCTCAGCCACAGTGGCCCAATAGCTGGTCTGTGAACACATCAAGCACATACTTAATCTCAAGGCTTTTGCAATCGTTCTTCTCTCTAGCTGTAATCTCTCATTACTTATTCTGAGTGTCTTGTTTCTGCAGTTGCTTTACTTACTCGACCATTGTAAAATAGTCATTCTTAACTGCACAACTCCATTGTATCTTATCTTCTTTGCCTTGCCTTATGCTTTTCCTTGGAGTTACAGATACCTAATGTAGATAGTATTTACTTTTTTTTATGCTTGCATTAATCACCTAGAATATAAACTCCAAAAGAGGAGCTCTTTTATTATCTATCTAATATATCTTGGATATTTGTTCCCACCTAAATTTCATGTTGAAATGTAATTCCCTGTGTTGGAGATGGGGTCTGGTGGGAGGTTTGTGGATCATGGGGTAGATCCCTCATGAATGGCTTGGGCCATCCCTTTGGTGAGAAGAGAGCTCTGACTCTGACTTTTCACGAGATCTGGTTGTTTAAAACTGTGTAGCACATCCCCTGAACTTCCTCTCACTTGCTCCTGCTTTTGCCATCTGAAGTACCTGCTCTTGCTTCATTTTTCACCATGGGTAAAAGCTCCCTGAGACCCTCCCTCAGAAACGCATGTCCCTATGCTTGTTGTGCAGCTGGAAGAACCATGAGCCAATTAAATCTCTTTTCTTATAAATTACTCAGTCTCAGGTATTTCTTTATAGCAATACAAGGATGGCTTAATACATATCTCTAAAGCAAAAACTGGGCCTGGTATGTAATAGGTGTTCAATAAATATTTATTGAATAAACGAATAAATATTGGGTTAAATAAAGTTTAAAGCATCATAATAGAACACTGGGTAGATGTCAGTATGACAGTTTTCTTATTTACATACGGACGTGGAGAGGTCTTTGTGGGCATTGGTAAGAGAGCAAACCAAATTACAGAACACTATGTAGAGTATAGCTGTATAGGATACATATGGTATATGTTTACAAATATGTCTAGAAAAATTTGAAAGCTATATATCAAATATTACATCATTTATCTTTAGAAGGCTAATTGCATGTTTTCAATTTATTATTTATAATTTTCTTTTTATTTTTTAACTATTTTTATAGGCTATTTGTATAATCACAAAAGACAACTGAATAATTCTTGTTTTCTTCATCAACTTGTAAGTTCTGGGGTACATGTGCAGGATGTGCAGGTTTGTTACATGGGTAAACGTGTGGCATGGTGGTTTGCCATGCAGATCAACCCATCACTAAGGTACTAAGCTGAGCATTCATTAGTTATTCCTCCTGATACTCTCCTTCCCCTTGACCCACCGACACGCCCTAGTGTATGTTTATATTGTTACCCCTCATGTGACCATGTGTTCTCATCATTCAGCTTCCTCATGTAAGTGAGAACATGCAGTGTTTGGTTTTCTGTTCCTGTGTTAGTTTGCTGAGGATAACGGCTTCTAGATCCATCCGTGTCCCTGCAAAGGACATGCTCTTGTTTCTTTTTATGGCTGCATAGTATTCCGTGGTGTATATGTACCACATTTACAACTGAGTAATTTTGACACAAAAAATGTATTGTTACATGGATATAATGTTTATATTCTTTTCACAGAATTTGAGTCACTTGAATTTCTGCTTTAACACTTAGAATTTGGAGGGTCTGTTTTCTTAAAAAATATATATATTAACACTTTAAATCCAGTAAGTAAATGTGAAAGTTTGGGGGAAATAGTCAGCTGGAAACTCAGAATTGATGTTAACTTTCACCAGGCCTTTGTTCACATTATTTTCATCTATAATTAATGAATGAATAATCCTATACTATCTCTGCATTCAAAAATGATATATATGATGCATATGTATATATGGCAAAAATCTAAGAAATGTAGCCAAATATTAATATTGCTTACACATATGTAGTCATATCATGGTGAACTTTTTTTATTTTCTTGATTTTGCAAGAAGAATAATAGAGGCTATTTACATTTTAATGTCCAAATGTGTATACAAATATAAAAATTATGCTTTAAAAATCTAATAAATAAATGGAAGTAAAACATTTTTGAATTTTTTTTTAAGATTCCACAATAGATCTAGGTATTCTTCTTATCCATATGCTGATACTACCATTGCCCAAATTCTGGCAGTTGGTCCCTTTGGGAAACAGCTAGATGAATCACTACTATACACACTTACTGTGGTATTCAGTACCCCTCCTCAAGGGGAATTAGCCTATCTTTTGTTTTTCTTCAGTAATATTTTATCTTTAATAGACAAATAGTGATTGTATTTATTCACGGGATACAATGTTACATTTTGATGCAAACATACCTTGTGGAATGATCAAATCAGGCTAATTAACATATCTGTCATCTCAAATGCTTTTCTTCTTGGTGAGAGCATTTAAAATCTGTTGTTGTAGCTATTTTGAAATATAAAGTATATTCTTTTTTAACTACATTTAGTTACAATGTAGTATAATAGCCTTTGGTAGCCATCACTGTACTCTGTATTTCTATCAGTTTGCCTTTTTAAATTACACATGTAAGTGAGATCATGCGGTATTTGTTGTTTTGTGTCTGACTTATTTCATTTAGCATAATGTCCTCTAGGTTCATCCATGTTGTCATAAATGACAAAATTTCCTGCCTTTCAAAGGCTGAATGGTATTCCATTGTTTATATATACCATATTGCCAAAATCCATTCATCTGTTGGTGGGCACTTAAGTTATTTTCAAATATTGGCTATTGTTAATAATGCTGCAGTGAATGTGGGAGTTCAGACATCTTGTTGACATACTGATATTAATTCCTTTGACTATATACTCAAAAGTGGAATTGCTGGACTGTGTAGTAATTTTAGTTTTTTAGTAACATTCCTACTGTTTTCCAAAATAACTGTACTAACTTACAATACCATCAACAATGTGCAAGGGTTCCCTCTTCTCCACATCCTCATCAACACTTGTTATTTTCATCTTTTTGATAATAGCCAGTCTATCAGGTATAAGATAATATTTCATTGTGATTTAATTAGCATTTCTTTGATGATTAGAGATGTTGAGCATTTTTTCATGTATCTTTTAACCACTTTTATGTTTTCTTTTGAGAAATATCCATTTAAGTCCTCTGCCCATTTTTAATAGGATCATTTGTTTTCTTATTATTGAAGAGTTTGAGTTCCATGCATATTTTAGATATTAGCCTTTTATCTAATGCGTAATTTGCAAATATTTTCTCCCAGTCTGTGGGTTGCCTCTTTAGCCTGTTAACTGTTTCCTTTCCTTCCTGCAGAAGCTTTTTAGTTTGATGCAATACCATTTGTCAATTTTTGCTGCTATTGTCTGTGCTTTTGGGGTCAAGAAATCTCTGCTCATACCCAGGTCATGATGGTTTCCCCATATGTTTTCTTCTAGTAGTTTTATAGTTTCAAGTCTTATGTTATATTAAGTTTTTAATCCATTTTGAGTTGTTTCTTGTGCAAGGGCTGAAATAAGTGTTCATTTTGATTCTTCTGTGTGTGCATATCCAGTTTTCCCAACAACATTTATTGAAAAGTCTGTCATTTCCCCATGGTTTGATCTTGTTATCTTTATGAAAATTTAATTGACCATAGGTATGTGAGTTTATTTCTGGGCTTTCTATCATATTCCATTGATTGATATGTCTGGTTTTATGCCAGTACCATGCTGCTGGCTTTGTAATGTGTTTTAATATCTGATACTGTGATATCTGCAGCATTATTTTTTCTCAAGATTTTTATTTGTGGCTATTTGTAGTTTCATACATATTTTACAATTTTTTATTTCTGTGAAAAATGCATTGGAATTTTCATAGGGATTACGTTGAATCTGCTTTGGGTAGTATGACCATTTTAACAATATTAATTGTTCTAATCCATGAGCATGGACCAGCTTTTCATTTATTTGTGTCATCTTCTGGTTTTTTCAACAGTGTTTTATAGTTTTTAGTATATGGAACTTTAATTTCCTTGGTTTAATTTACTCCTACGTGTGTGTGTGCATCAACTAACCATAGTTATGTGGGTTTATTTCTATCATATTCCATTGATTACTTCTAAATGAGTGAGAGTGTGTGTGTGTGTATGTGTAAGATACTATTGTAAATGGGATTTTTAAAAAAATTTCTTTCTCAGGTTGTATACTGTTAGTGTATGGAAATAATACTGATTTTGTAAGTTGATATTGTATTCTGCAAATTCACTAAATTTGTTAA